GGTTATGCTCAGGGGTTCACTTTGCTGACCATTATTACTATAAACAAGTTGTTTTCGATTTGTTAAATAGCTTTCAAACCATTTTAAGATTCTATTGTTTAACCATAATGTTTAATTTTTTGGATTAAAATGTGATGATCGACCGTATCAAAAGCTTTTGATAGGTCAATGAAAACACCTAGTGTATATTGGGATTTTTCAAAAGATTTAGAGATGTTATGTATAAATTGAATTATGGCATGTTCAGTTGAACTCCCTTTTCTGAAACCATACTGATTGTTATGAAGTAAGTTGTTGTATTTAAAATAATTGTATACCCTATTGATAAAATAATTCTTTCTAAAATTTTAGAAAATATAGAAAGAACAGAGATGGGACGATAATTAATGATATTGGATCTGTCGCCTTCTTTATGGATAGGGGTAACCCTGGCAAGTTTTAAACGTTTAGGAAAATACCTTGATGAATAGATGCTCTGAAAATTTTAAAAAGAATATTTTTTAATTGTTCGTAGCTATCTATAACAATATTTCCGTTTATTTTATCTGCACCAGGTGCTTTATTTTTTTAAAGATTTGAAAGCTTTTTCAAACTCATCAAATGATAGTTCGGCAGATAATTCTTCAGAGCAAATATTTTTATTAATAGGTATCAAAAAATCATAAAATGAGGTTTGGGTTTTTGGTATTTTACTTGACAGAATTGATCCAATTTCAGTGAAATATTTATTGAATTTATGAGTTATTATTTGTGGTTCATACAAGCTATTGTTATCGACTTTAGGCTTTTGTGGCAAAGAGCTTGAGCATGTTTTTTGTTTTCCAGTAATTTCTTTCAATACTAGCCAAGTGCTTTTTGAGTTATTTTTAACTTTATTAATTAATTTTGAATAGAAAGTTTTTTTTAAATTTTTTCGAATTTTTTCGAAAAGATTTTTGTAATCTTTGTAAATTTTTTCGCTAGCTGGTGTTTTTGTTTTCAGATATTTATGTATAGTTTTTGTTTAGTTTTGGATGATTTTTTGAATCCTTTGGTAATCCAGGGATTATTAAAGTGTTTTGTTTTTAATGTAATTGTAACAATTGGGAAATTAGATTCGTAAACAGAGGTGAATGTTTCAAAGAACTTTTCATAAAGGTTGTTTGCGTTTTCATTAAAATTTAAGTGTTTCCAATGTAATAATGAGAGCTGATTTTTGAAAGACTCAATATTTGATGGTTTAAAAAAACACTTTTTTATAACTTTATTTAATTTTTGTTTAGGCGGTTAGTCGGTGTTTATGGTTAGAAAAATAGGAAAGTGGTCAGAAATATCTGTTTTTAGGATGCCCAATTTTATATCACTGTTGAACAAGTCTGTAGAAATAATATTATCCAGCAAAGTTGCTGAATTTTTTGTTATTCTTGTCGGACGATTTAAAGATTAAAGGAATTGCTCCAGATTCAAAAATTGCATCATAAAAATTTCTAACTTTGTTATCGTCATTGTAGTCAAAACAATTCATATTAAAGTCGCCTACTACAAATTTTTTTTTTTTTTCGTTGTTACCTTTCGCAATAACTTTTTGCTTTAAAAACATGCTCAAGTTCTCGCTCACGCCATCTGGCGGTCGATAACAACAGCTAATTAAAATGATTAGTAATAATAAATTGAAAAGGAGTTCTTTTTAAGAACGAACGCATTTACTTCCGAAATTCTCTAGAAAAAAATTTATCATGCTTTATAACTGCATACTTACCTTCAAGTCGCAGTTTTTTGACCTCTTCCCACAACTTTTTTCGGCTTTCATTTTTTTGTTTCGTTTCTTCGTTTAAATTCATTTCTAGAAATTCTTTAAAACAAGAATCAGCCATACAAATATATGTAATAATTTTATTATTATTATTATTGTTATTAATATTATTATTGTTGTTATTATTATTATTATTATCTTAAGGTACAAAAAATTCACAAATTCTTACTAAACTGTCTTCTACTCTGAATTTTTGTGCTCGCACAGTTCGAAGGCTGTGCGAGCAGAATGTGCGGCCGTGGTACAGTAGTTACAGCGCTTGCTTTATAAGCAGGAGATCCAGGTTCGAAACAAGCTCTGGACATATTTTTGAGTCACGGTAAGAAAGGAGGCGGGAGTTTCTTGGTTAAATACACTTCCGCAGTGCTCTGTGTCAAGACCGTTAGGTCTTCTTGGGGCACCTAAATAACAAAAAAAAAAAAAGAGGCATTGCCAAAGATTTTATTCTTCCATCATCCTGTGCTACTTTAAAGTCACACCATTCTCAAAAATATTTGTGATCATGTCATGTTCTTAGAAAAAATGACGTGACAATTGTTGTGCTATATATCCTCAAGTAGAATTCATTGAAAAAAAGCAATATTAAAGAGTGCTTTTGCAAGAAATCACCATCAATTTTTCTATAAAAAAAAAATTAGTTCTGGTAATACTGATGAAATAAAATCTGCAAATTTGTTACTTAAAAAATGACAAAATGTCTGCATAATATTTGATGAAATGTATTTGCAGAAATGTGCCGAACAGTATAGTGGAACTATAAAAAAAAGATAAAAACAATATTGGTAAGTTTTACAAAAGTGTTATTAGCTTTATAACATACAGTTTTAAAGAAAATATTTTTTATATTATAAAAGCTATTAGTTAAAAAAATTATTGTAACTTCGCATCTTTAGTTTTATAGTGGTTTTGTTGTAGGAGCTATTGTTTGCCATGGAAAAACTGTTTCTGCATTTAGTTAATTGTTATCTGTTATGTTATTGTTAAATGTTATCGCTTTGATATCAATTTTATTCAACTACAAAAATATTTATTTATTCTATGATGCATTTAATTTTTAAATGTTAAAAACAACTTGCTAAATTGAAAGAGGTTTTTGTTTCTCCTATTTAAATTTATTGGGTTTAAAGACGACATTATAATTAAAGAACTATCCTGAAAACTTATGACATCCATAATAAAGGCTTTCCTTTTAACAAAACTTAAAATACTATGAAATAAATCAAAGTCATTGTTAATTTAGTTAGTATATTTCAATAAACACAGGGTCGACGACACCGGGGGGCACGTCTCCCACTTTTTTTCTAAACAAATTGATAAATGTGCACCATCCCCCTACTTCGAAACCCGTTTTGTTGTTAACAACTTTCTTTGCCAATTGATTTGCTTTTTTTTTATAATTGTCAATTGAACTTAGATAACTACTATATCTTTTTCGGGCATATTTTTCATTGATGATCATACTGTTTGTAATTTCAAAATTATGTGGTTGAACGTTGTTTGATATGATCTTTATCATTTACGGGATAAAGACTATTAAGTTAAGAGTTACTAGAAATAAACGAATAGAGTTAAAGAAATCGGTTACAGAAGACTTTAAAATTTGTAGTTTATTGGAGCCAGGAAAACATAAAGATGAGAGAGAATTCCTATTGGATGAAGTGCGGGGGAAAAAAACTAGACAAATAAAGTTTTTAGAGCATGCAGGGATACAGTGAAAGGATAAGCCTTTGCTGAATGACCAGTTTAGCTAGAATGAGTTTTAGTTGATGGAACTAGAGATGATAACTCTTTTAAGCAGCAACCATAGTAGTATTTGTAGAAAAGAGAAAGAGACGAAACTATACGAGGATAGGAGAGAGGCTCAAGTTGGCAGATGTTTACAATGCGCTTTTGGATCTTGTCTAGAAGATAAGAGCCATTAACAGAGCCATCTTAAATATGATAACAGTACTCTATACAGGGACAATAAGAGATTTGTAGAGGTAGATAATGGAATCAGGAGTAGGAAAATGTCAAGCACGTTAAAGAGAAGCAACCTTAACAAATGCTAATTTAGTAATCAATGGTGTATATGGTTTTCGTGAGTGGTCAGTAGTGAATGACAATCCAGGAAGTAAAGAAGTGGACTCAGTGAAAGGGTTGCCATTTACCAATATAGAAATTTTAACAGCGTTGCGATAGTTGCTCGCAGAAATAATGTAAGATTTACTAAATTTTATTGGGGCTAAAATCTACAAAACCCAATCTGTTATAGAAGTTTTATTTTATTATAAAAAACGACCTGTAATGAAGCCACAAGGATGATTAGACAAACTGATGCCTTCTTCTTGCTCCAGCCATTTATTTTATTATTTGTTATTTTATAAATTGTAATATTCTACGGCAAAATAATAATAAAAAAAGTTATATCGGATTCAAGGTCGGCTGCTTGTTGTAAATGATCAAAAAGAGAAGACTTTTTGTCAAGACAGGAGTATAATTCTAAGTAGTCAACTACTTTATATGTAAAGTTGTCAGTAAGATCATCAATGTAGATAAGAAACAAAACAGGACAAATGATAGAATCTTGGTGTACGCCAGATGTTACTAGAAATGAAGCAGTTAGTAAGTTAGCCGTTGAACGAGAAGATCGAAAACCGTATTGATTGTCTGACAGTAAGTTATTTGACTTAAAGTGAGATGTTAATATTTGTTGATCAAAGACTATAAGACCTTGCTAACATAATATAAACAGCAAAATATTAAAATATTTATAATATATAATTGCTATATATATTATTAAAGTTATAAAACCACTGCAGTGAGCAATAATAATAAAGACTCAAAATTTATATATTGCTTAACTTCAAACTTTTCTGACTGTTCCCTGATTTTCTAAAACTTTTCTCTGAGTACCATGAACCCTCTATATATATTTTGCACGCAGGATGTCACTCACCAACCAGATCAGGTAAAAATAATTTCTTCCCACTTTTCCAAGAATATTTTTTGTTTGTTTTGCGGTTACAAAAAACCAATAAAAAGAAGTGCTGATTATTCCACTTTAATGCCACAATGGATTTTAGGTACTTTATTAATTTTATTAAAAAAAAATTATAATCGGCAATTTCTAATAATAACAGGAAATAAAATCTATTCCGCTAGAAGAAAGATATAATCTACTCAATAAAAGGAGACAAAGGGTTCGGAATTAAAAAATGCAACTATATTTATTTTCTTTCGAAATGTTGGTTTTTATAAGCAAATAAATTTATAAAATATTCATCTAAAAATATATAAACAATTTTTATATGTACAAAATTACAATTTATATTAAACATGAGCGGCGATCAAACAAGATGATCGATGATATTTCTGACAACATGCCTTTAACTACACATATTTCTGTTAAAAATTCTTTGATATCAATTTTGTTTTTTTGAAAACATCCTTCGTAATGAAACATTTGGATCACTATAATAAAGAGTTTTTTTGTTATAGCATGTATTCTTCATCAGAGGAATGTTCTTTAGCAGTGTTAGAAATTTCTATGTTAACTTTATCGCTAGCCATTTCTATATTTTTCATCCAATTTTTTTTCTCTTCTGGTGAGGGTGATATTAAAGTATATGCTGATACCGGCTGATGATAACGATTGTAGTGTAAAACACAGAAAGCATTTTTAACAGGAACTAAAATAAAGAAAAAGATTTCAAAGATAAATTAGCTGTAAATGATTTACAATAAATATTAATTCCTATTTTGAAAAACTATATTTTTTGCTTTAATTTTAAATAATAAAATAACGTACGAGACTGTTCGTCACAATTATATAATCGCAGCCGATCTAGAGGGATAGGCTAGAGAAAAAAAAAACAACCAAAAATTACGACATAACAAAACATGCTAATACAATCTCCAAGAATTGTTAGAAAAAACTAACCTGCTTATAAACAGTGTATTGAGCAGATGTGGGCTCCCAAGTTGGAAACCTTCTCCTGGACATATCAAATGATTTAATTTCATCAGATGCGCTACCACTTCGTCTCTAATACATTAAGTTTATATATATGTATATAAGTTTCGATGTTTGAAATAGCTTACTTCTAGACATGGAACAAACTCCAAACAATTATGTTTACACTCATGTCAAATAATGCTATGCAAAAAATTGTGATGATTGTAGCCTAAGAAAAAAAAAACCCTAAAATATTGGCCACAACTGCCCCTAAAGTAAAACCAACAAGATGTTAAGATATTTTATGTACTATTATTTAATAAATTTATATTCAACAATAAATTTTTAATTTCATATTATGAACGCTAAGAGATTATTGTATGAAATTAAAAATTTATCAATGAAAATAAATTTATTAAAGAATAGTACATAAAATATTTTATCAATTTGTTGCTCTCAATTTTGGGGCATTTTTTTGTTCCTAAGCCCCAATCATCGCAATTTTTTGCAAAGCACCCTTATTTATATGTAATTATTACGTAATTAACATTAGTGTATAAATATAATTTACATAAGTATAAACATATAAATGTTTGGAGTTTGTTCCATGTCTAGAAGTTAGCTCAAACATCAAAAGCATCAAAAAATACTGGATCCACCCCTGATATATATTTATATATATATATATATATATATATATATATATATATATATATATATATATATATATATATATATATATATATATATATATATATATATATATATATATATAAACTGTGAAAAGTGTCAAGACCCACATCCTCCACAGAAGCAGTGACGGATCCAGGGGAAGGGATAGGAGGGTATGCATCCCTCCTACCAAAACTTAAAAGTCCTAAAATAATTTAGAAATTGAGGAACTTTTTTTTTTAGGAGACGCAAATGTGGTACAAATTACAAAAATATTTCAACATCCCTCCCACCAAAAATTATTGGAGCCGTCACTGCACAGAAGATAAAAAAGAATTCTAAAAAAAGCACTTCCATTTTTCTTCTGACTTGTTCCGTCTTTGAGAATTTTAATTATGTTACACACAATGAATTTCATTTCAGACAAGCTTTTTTTTGAAAGTTTGTTTCCTATGGCTTTGTTATTTCTATACAATTTGTCTCATTTTGTTTTTCATTAACATTTATCTTATAACATTAACATTTATCTTGAAGTTAAATTTACTACAAATTGGCCAGATATTTGTCTTTTACAAGCAAATATTTTTCTGAGCATTTGTTTGTAATAAACAATACCTTTATTATTATACTAAATGCTGTTAAATAAATAATTTAATAAAATAAAAAGATTTTAATTAAGTTTATTTACAGAACTCCAAAATCCTAGTGAATGCTAAGTGTTAAATTAAAATGGATCCTAGTGAATGCTAAGTGTTAAATTAAAATGGATTCTAGTGAATGCTAAGTGTTAAATTAAAATGAATCCTAGTGAATGCTGTGAATGTAGTGTTAAATTAAAATCAAAATGGATCCTAGTGAAGTGTTAAATTTATAACTGTTTTATGATTGCTTTTTCTTTATAATAAACGTTTAAAAATTGATAAACATTGTTACACAACAATGAAAAACAAAAAATCTCGAATTTTAAAACTGGTTAAAATTGGAAACTTTTGAGTTTAAAAAATTTCAAGTAGATCGGATATTAGCGAATGAGGGAGTATGAGGGCATAGATTTTTTAAACACATTTTTTTACACGCATACAAAAAAGGGCAAAAAGCGTTTAATTTTTTTTTAACTTTTTTTAATCCAGGTCTTATTTTAAAAATGCGGAAAATTGTTTGGGTAAAATATCCGAAAAAATTAAGAATATATTTTCCCTTATTTTCCTCTTAATTTTGATTTTAGCTGAGTTGTTTCAAATATTTTTTCCAAAATTTTTGTATGAGTGATGAGTGAAAAAGCATAAAAAACAAATACAGTATGTGCCAAAATTGTCACCATGTTTGTTCAAAAAAATATTTTATATATATTTTATTAGAAAAGCTGTGAAGAAAAATGAAATTTTAGTTTTATTAATTAAATTTAAGACTTAGCTAACTAAAAATATTGCTTTTTGTTAAATTTTGAAGATATTAAACTTTTTTTAAAATTTTTATGTGAAAAGCTAATGGTGATTTTGTCGCAAATGAAAGCAATTATCATATTTGTCCACAGTTAATTAGGCATACGACATAAATTAATAGCCTTATGACTAAAATGATTGAGTTATCAACTTTTCACAGATTTTTAACGATTAAATATCATTTTAAGTTTGATTTTGAAAACATAAAAAAAGTATTTTATTATCATCATGAGGAAAATAAATCTTGAACTAGAAAAAAATATTGTGGAAAGGCTTATTTCCGGACCATCTTATCGTGAAATCGCTGCTGAGTTCGGAAAGTCCCATAATCTCATATATAAAATCAAATTGCGCAATAATTTAGAAGTAAATAAGCCTAAGAGTGGTCGAAAGAAAATTTTTACACCAAGAGACCAAAGAACAATCGTTCGTTTAATTACTTCTGGAGAGTCTAAAACTGCAAAGGATGTTACTAATTTAATGAATAATAGCTATGGGAGTCACGCTTCAGTGTGGACAGTCAATAGAGAGCTCAAAAGAATTGATTTTCGATCCAGAAGGAAGATCAAGAAGCCACTGTTAGTTTCTCGTCATCGCCAAGCTCGTTTAAATTATGCTTAACTTTATGCACACATGACTTTTGATGACTTTTATGACTGGATTTGGACAGATGAAAGTAAAACTATTATGTTTGGATCAGATGGTATAAGATATAATTGGAGAAAGCCTCATTCACCATTAAGTACTCGAGATTTTACACCAACCGTTAAATATGGCAGAGGAAAACTTATGTTTTGGGGATGTTTCTGTGCTCGTGGAGTTAGAGAAAAAACAATAAATGCTGATGACTATATCAACATCTTTAAGGTCAGATATTTCAAGTCCTTTTAAAAATGGGGCAGAAGTGTACGTAACATGATGTTCATGCAAGACAACAACCCCAAGCATAAGGCTGATAAGACCATTAAATTCCTTCACGAGAAGAAATTGAAAGTCATTGACTGGCCAGCACAAAGCCTTGATCTTAACCAACTCAAAAATTTATGGCCAATAGCTAAATAACGGGTCTACAACTTTCCTACTCTACCTAATAATAAGGATGAACTTTGGGCTCTTGTACAAGAGGTTTGGTACTCAATTACAACCAGGAATGCCGCAAATTGGTTGCTAGTGTTCCTGAAAGAATTTAGGCTGTAATTAAATCTAAGGGAGGATACACTCGATATTCATTTACTACAATATGTTATTTGCTTTCATTTGCTACAAAATTGTCAACATTAGCTCTTCACATAAAAATTTTTTAAAAAATTCAATATTCTCTGAATTTAACAAAAAGCAATATTTTCACAGCTTTTCTAATAAAATATATATAAAATATTTTTTTGAACAAACATGGTGACAATTTTGGCACATACTGTATATAACAAAAATATACACCTAAACTTGTATGTATGAAAAATGTTTTGGATATCTGGAAAAATTAAAAGTTGAGAAAAAAATCCGGAATTCTGGAAATATCGGGAAAAAGATACATGTAATACTATTTGTAGAATTTTAATATCATTTATTTAGTTAAGAGTTTATTAAGACCTTAAAGAGTTATTTTTTTAACAATTATAGATAAACACATATAAGATTTTGTTTAATATCAGAAATCACTCCTGTTATTGTTGCTAAAATTCTTTTTTCAAAATCAGTCTTACAAAAGTCCAAAATTCTTATCAATACTCTCAAACAATTGCTTAAATGAATCTTGTTCTTACTGCTAACAAACCTATTAACTAACCTAAGATCCAAAATTGAAATCACTCAAAGGCTCACTAAAGGCTCACATAACCTGCTTTTGACAGACCAATAGTAAGTGAGTTGTAAAAGAACAGAATTAAATAAGAGTAAAAGTTAGAAGTAATTGTGTTAAAAAGAAATTAAGAAAAGGACACAGATATTGGACTTGATGTTAGAATATACAATTACACTAATATTATTGCATTAAACTTTTGAAACGTGCAATTAATGTTAATTTAATTTTTGTTTTAAAAACATTAATGCAATAAATTGTGAAGCGATTTTTATAGTGGTTGATTTATTGCGCATTAATTTTTATCTAAAAAATTATTTGCATAATCAAAAAAAATTGCTTTTGAGCTTATGCCAATGCAGTATTTTTAATCTGGAATTTAAGTTTATGGCTTATTAGAAAAATTAAAGTACACCATGCAAGAGCGTGTATATATATATATATATATATATATATATATAAATAAATATATATAAATACATATATATATATATATATATATATATATATATATATATATATATATATATATATACACAAATATATATACAAATATATATACAAATATATATACAAATATATATACAAATATATATATATATATATATATATATATATATATATATATATATATATATATATATATATATATATATATATATATATATATATATATATATATATATATATATAAATAACCAAAAGGCAACATTTTTTCATTTTGCATTTGGCGTCATCCAGAGTACAAACAGCAAGACAAATAAGGACTGAATTGGAATTACCTGTGACCACAAGATGTGTCCAACAAATTTTGTCAAAATCAGAACAACGAGTGGAAAAAAAATGATCACAAAACCACCAACATACAAGGGCAAAATTTAAGTTTGCCGAGGACCACATGACATAGGACGCAGAATAGGAAAGTGTTTTTTTTTTTGATGAAAAAAAGATAAACTTAGATGCCTGATGGTTTTAAGTATTATTGACATGATTTAAAAAAAAGATAGCATTGCTAGAGTCGTAACTTTAGAGGAGGGGCAGTTATGGTGTGGACTGCATTTTGTTTCTGTGGCAAAGTTTCAATATGTTTTGAAGAATGCAAGAAATTACGATGTTTTAGAGGATGTTTTAATTTGGATTGTTTGGGGTTTACCTGCGGAGAAATGGATTTTCCGACGAGATAATGCGGCAATTCACACAGCATGAAGTGTAAAACAGTGGTTCCAGAAAAAATATATACATGTTTTGGATTGGTCATCACTCAAATTGAAACTTATTGAAAATTCATGGGGGAATATTGGCATGAGCTATATATGGAAATTCTTGACAATAAATAGAACTTAAAACTTCTATCCAACAAGCATGGAATGGTATTTTGAAGGTTTATTTGAAAAATTTTATAAAAAATATGAAAAACCAAATCTTTGATTTAATTAGTGTTAAAGGTGATGGTACACATTACTAAAACTAAAGTATTTTAAAAAATTATTATTTAAATTAAAAATTCTAAAGGTTTACTTTTGATGGAACTATAAAAATTTTACATGTTTTTTCTAAATATTTATAACTTTTAAGTTATTACAAAATAAATTAATAGTTATTTCTATTAAAATATTATTTGCTTATTTATTCCTAAAAAATCCAATTATGAAAAAAAAAAAAAAAAAAAAAAAAAAAAAAAAAAAAAAAAAAAAAAAAGCAAATACTTCGCAAATTCATTTACAAATTGTGGAACTATGTAAATTTTGCTGAGCGTATATATATATATATATATATATATATATATATATATATATATACCATACATATAAAATCTTGCAGATTTTATGGAGATTTCTATGGAAGTTTTGCTGAGTGTATATATATATATATATATATATATATATATATATATATATATATATACCATACATATAAAATCTAGCAGATTTTATGGAGATTTCTATGGAAGTTTTGCTGAGTGTATATATATATATATATATATATATATATATATATATATATATATATATATGTACAGGGCTCGAATTAACGCAAAAAAATCTAATCGCGAAAAAAAAAAATTTTTACTCCCCCCCCTATACTTTGCGCTTTTTTGCGTTAATGGGGAGGGGGGGGGGGAAAGAGGGAAGTTGCATTAGTATATAATTGTAACTTTTGTACGTTATTGTTCTACTTTTATTACATTATCTCTATATTTAAATATAATCTTATAATTTTCTAGTTCGGCAGAGTTTAAAATAGCGTAAGTTACTGTTATTATTTACAACTTAAGTTATAACTTATAGCTTAAGTTGCAGTTGTAATAAGCAATAACGTTTTTAATACTATTAAGATATTTCTTTAAGTATATATTTTACTTAAAATGATACTTAAAAAAGTAAAATTAAAAAAGTTAGAGAAAAAGCAACATTGCAATATCTAAACCACTTTAATTAGTCAAAGAAAACTATTTATTACGTTCGTGCTGACGTTAAAACACGCGTTAATTTTAAAAAGTATTAAATTGTTAAAAGCTATAAAACAACATTAAAACAAACTGCAAAGTTATTTTAAAAATATAAAGAGCTTGGTTTAACAAAAAAACAAATTCGTGACACTGTTTCGTGTTGATTTATACAATTTATAAAATAAAACGCGTTAAAATAAAAGGAAGCAAATAAATAAAATTGATCTAGTTAATAAACTAAAACAAAACTTCATATTTGCCCTATAGACCTATACGAGTTTACAATATATGGAACAAACGAGTAAGATCAAAGCATAAAAATATTAGATACCACGTCTTTTATAAATTATCGTTTCCTGATCAAGCGTACGATTAAAAAAAAAATAAAAGTATAATTAAGTTTTTCATTCAAATGGTTTTTAAACTGATGTTTTCATTCAATTTTTTTTTATTCTAATTGTTTTCCAAAAAAAAGTGAAACAAAAGATTTTGTTTAATAAATCGAATTATATCAAGTATAAGAATATGCTTAAATTATTTTTTTAGAAAAAATTTTTTTCGAACAGAAGTAAAATAATTTATTAAATTTAATTTAAATTTTTTATTTTAACTTGCAATTTGCAATCACTGCTTTGATGTTTGCAATAGAATGTTTCTACTTTTAAAACTATTTTCAAGAAAAAATATATAATTCAAAACGTTAAAAAAATTTACGATTTAAGAAGAAAAAAATTTTTTCTCTTCTCCCTTGTTTCATAAACCTTTTTTTAAATTTTTAAATTTTTTTTAAATTTCAAATTTCTATGACAAAATTATTTGAATAAGTGAATTTTAAGGCTAAATTTCTCTTGTTAAATTGATTTCTTTATAAATAAAATTCTTGAAAACAATTGCGTATTTATAGAAAATGTTTAGTTTAGATGTCGCTATAAATAAAATGAAAATATAAAAAAAATGGTGTCGCGTTTTTCATATTCTATTCAACAATTTTTGTTAAAATAATTTTAAGTTAAAAGCTTATACTATGTGTTAACAACATTTAAGATCTAAATTGAAACATGTCTATGGCTAACTTTTGCGAGTATATTAAATAAATTAATATAATTGTTAAATTAATACTTGAGTAACTGTAAGTTACTATCTTAACTTAACTGGTTGTTTTGATTTAGGTTATAAGTTAATTTACTCTATCCATTTAGTAAAGTTAACTAAATATAACTTCAATAGTTTCAAGGTCGTTAAAGCAAAAAACGTGAAAGCAAAAAAGTTGCTGGTTTCTATTAGTACAATTTTACTAATAGAAATTTTATTTAATAAAAACGAATTTATACTTATTTTATATACTTAAAGTAGTAAAAAAAATATATAAAATTGTTTATAAAATAATAAATTAAATCATTATTATTAAGTTAATTTGGAGCAACGTTTCTTTTAAAAAAAGATAAAAATGCTGTTTTGTTAAAGAAATACAGTCATGGCCAAAAGTTTGGAATCGCCCAATATTTTTAAACAAAAACCATGTTTTTTCAAATTTATTGCATACAAATAAAGATAGTATAGCACCAATTCATATAATACTGCATATTAGACTAGAGTATATAGCACCTACAATGTTGAACAAATCTAACAATATAAAAAGTTGCAAAATTTTAATATTTTGTAGGATAACAGCGGTTCTTTAATACAGCCGCAATTCGACGTGGCATGCTCCAAACAAGTTTCTTGCACAGTTCTGGTGTTATCTCTTTTGTCCAAACTTCCACTAGCTTCCTCTGTAAATCTTCAATATTCTGTGGCACCTTTCTTCTCACTTTATGCTTCAGTACTTGAAGTTCTTCAGTACTATACTTCAGTACTATACTCTTCAGTACTTGAACTTCAGTACTATACTTCAGTACTACATACTTCAGTATGGTCCACAAATTCTCTATGGGGTTAAGATCGAGGCTGTTACCCGGCCAGTCGAGAACGGATACCTTGTTTTTCTTGAAGAAGGCTTGCATCACCTTGGAAGTGTGGCATGGAGCATTGTCTTGCTGAAATATGGTTGTTCTATGTGACTCCATGCTTGGGAGCAGCTTTTCCTGTAGAATTCCCTGATAAATTTGGGAATTTACTCTCTGCACCTTCGGTACAAAATGTAACCGGCCGCGAAATCGAGCTGAGAAGCAACCTCACACCATTATTGACGGTGGATGCTTTACAGTAGGCACAGTGTACTTCTGAACATACCTGGATCCTTGTGGTCTTCTAACATAATTACATGATGTCCCAAATTGTTCAAATGTGCTTTCATCAGAAAACATTACTTTCTCCCAGTCCTTCTCCTTCCAATGTTTGTGCTTTTTGCAGAAGTCCAACCTCCTCTTGAGTGTCATTCAAGGCTGGTTTCTTGGCAGGTCGTCGAGCAGGACGCTTCAGATCAATCTGCAGCACACGTCTGATCGTTCTTGTGCTTGGTAGACTTGCTTCAGCATTTCCAGGACTCAAATCATTTATAATCCCATATGATGACAGCTTGGGATTATTCTCCACAATAAACTTGATGCGTCTTGTCAACCTTTCAGTCACTTTTTTTGGTCTGCCACTTCTCCCACGTGAAGAAAATGTTCCACATTGTCGAATTCTACTTAATGTCTTACTAACACAAGATTGTGATACATTTACAATTTTTGCAATATCTCTAGTTGAATTATTTTGTTGAGCTAATATAAGAATTTGACCTCTAATAACTTCTGATAATTCCTTCTTTTTTCCCATTAAAATGATCAAAAAATGTAATTAAAACTGCTGCTACCACAAATGGTTTAACTAAATACCAGAACAAAGACAACTAAATAGAATTAATATTTCTGACCAAGGTTCAACAAAAACAAAAAAAAATGAAAAGTTCACATGTGATTCTAAACTTTTGGCTGCGACTGTAGAATAAAGAAAAAATTATTTTTAACTTTTGTCTTTTTAATTTGCTTCTACACAGAGATTTAAAGTAGTTTAAATTAAAAAGTGCTTTACGTTGAATAAAAATCTCCGCGCGAAAGAGCAAATGATCATGCTTCTATTCAAAAGCAAATGGTCATGCTTCTATTCAAAAGACAAACTTTGCGTGACCTACTTTACTATGAAAACTTTACTTTTAAGAATTGCCAAAAAAAAGCTAAACTAAAAAATAGTAAATAAACAACTAAAAAAGTAAACCAATCGCGAAAATATATGTTTTAAGAAAAAACTAATCGCGAAGGTGTAAAAAGCAATCGGGATTCGCGATCGTGATACGCTTAATTCGAGCCCTGATGTATATAAAATCTTTCAGATTTTATCAAATATTTTACTGTCTATTTTAGGCCCATATTTACACATTTAAAAGTCTGCAGGTTATATTAGTACTATGCTGACCTCAATTTCCAGTAATTAATATAAAGAATTTATTTTGACAGCAATAACAATGAGAAGACATTTGTTCCCATTTGCTGTATTTATAAACTCACTTTGTTCACATGAGAAAATGGCACAAAAATATATTTTTAAAATAGTCAAAAAAAAACAACCATTGAAAATAGTTAAATGAAATACCTTGTTTTTTTTCCTAAACTTTGTAAACATCAACATGTCATCAAAAAGAAATGTATAGAATTCTGTTTTATTGTTATCTAAAAATAAAAAATTAGGTGACTAAAAACAAAAACCTAAAATCTTATAAAAAAATAACTGTTTTGTGCCATATGTTTAGAAACAAAACAGTAACAATTAAACATATTTTGTAAAACAAAAATCAGATTCACCAGCTAGAGTAAGAATTCCTTCTTGTATTAATACACGATTAGGATTCATCAGTATGTTTTCACAGTGGCTACTTGCAATAACACTTTTGACAGACTGAAACAATTTAGTTTAACTTTTTATAAAAAAAAATAAAATTAAATGAAATAAAATTAAATATAAAATAAATCTCTTTACTTCTGGTAGAAAACAAGTTTTATCAGGATCAACAATAACTGGCCATGCTAATGATTCATGAATTTCTTGAATTCTTTGAAGATTTACTAAAGCAGAGTATTTTTTCTCTATTGATTCTAAAACAAAATGAGTTTTAAAATAAGCACTTTTAGGTTTTCAAAAATTGTATCAACTCTGACACAAATAATCGTAAACTATATGTATGTATGTATGTATGTATGTATGTATGTATGTATGTATGTATGCATGTGTGTATATATATATATATATATATATATATATATATATATATCTATATCTATATATATATATATATATATATATATATATATATATATATATATATATATATATATATCTATATCTATATATATATATATATATATATATATATATATATATATATATATATATATATATATATATATATATATATATATATATATATATATATATATATATATACATATATTAGGTTGATGACTATTTTACAACCTAATTTCCCTGTATTGTAATTTGATGTTCATTAAAGATTAGATGAAACCTTACTTTCAAGGTGAGTTGATATAAAAGGTCACGCACAAAATGAGTAAAATTTTTTATTTATTAGCTTTTTTGCATAATTTTTGAGATCTCTTTAAGCAGTTACAAATTCAACACAAGCTTCAGAGTAACCTATATGCAACATTTCATGTTGCTTTGGGAGATATTGATTGAAGATTTGTATGTTTTACAAGCATCTGAGACCTTTTAGAGTCATTCAGCATTGATTGGCCTTCAGCCAAAGGTCTCCAGATATTACTTGACTTATGCTCTAGTTATGCTGAAAAACATGATAGGATTTATAACAGTATTAAGTCTCAAATAATGCTTTTTAAAATTTATGAACCCTTTGCAAATAGCCCATGTTTCACCTTATCTGACAAGGTTCTCACATACACTTGTCAATATAAATACCTGGGTCATTTGATCTCAAACAATATGCTGGATAACAAAGATATCTTAAAACATGTATGTTTTATGTATGCTAAAGCGAACCTCATCAAACAAAGATCATGTTATTTAATGCCTTTTGAAGCCCAATCTATGGATGTCAGTTATTGTATCTTTGGAGAAAAGACTAATTTTATTGCCTATGTGTTGCGTATAATAATGCACTTCGCTTGATATTGAATAAGCCACCATGGAACAGTGCTAGTGAATTATTTGTAAAACATGGTGCCCATTCACTTTTTCGTTTTTATTCGTAAGCAACAATACTCTTTTTTGTTACTGTTGCAGAATAGTGAGAACCTCGTCATAAAAGCTTTTGTTAACTCTGACAGGTTCTTGCAGTCTCCACTGTTGATTAAATGGAGAGCTGAGTTATATTTATAGTACTTTATTATTATTTTTTATTTTTCCCTGGGTTTTGTTTATATTCAAGTACGTTATTTTTTGATATTCACTTTATTTTACCCATCGTATATTTATTATATTGGGCCTTGAGCCTGTCAATAAATATAATTGATTATAGTTCGTCAAAACCTTCAGCATGGAACAACTGACTACTAAACCAATGGTCAGACCATGAGTAGAAAAAGAATGAAAAGATATCTCATTCATCTCAGTGTGGTGATGAAAAACACAAGTGAGATGGTAAGAAACTTCATATCGCCTCTCCAGCCGTTTCTTTTGTTCTTCTCATTTTTACTGTTGCTGAAGGCTGATTTTAATTTATCACAATTGCTCATTAATGAATGCTTTTAAAAAGAAGTACACAATGTTTGGTGATTTAATCAATCCATTGAGCTTGTTGCCCATGACAACACAAAGAATGTGATCCAGCACATGGTGTTAGCAACTGATGAATTTCCTCAGAGGAAATACTTTGTGTCCAAATCTGCTAAGATCCAAAATTTAATACCAAATTTGTCTTGTTTATTTGGAATATACTGTGTGAATCTGCACCTTAAAGGGATCCCTAAGTGCTTCTAACATATGATCTCATATGAAAGAGCATAAAAAAAAAATATGTAAGTTTTTTTTCTTTTTCACTAAATTGTGATAATAAATGCATGCTAACAAAAAGCAATTGCCGAAATCACTTAAAAACAACTCCATTTTGATTTTATTTTTTCACCATTGAAACTCGATTGTTAGTCGTTAAAAATCACGTTAGTACGTCACAACAACTTTAGAATATCTACTTCGATTTTCAAGTAAAAAAAAGTCGTGATTAAATAGTTAAGTTTTAATCAAGTTTTGTTAATTAGTTTTGCAAAAACAGTAAATAGCATTCGGTTGAAAGACGTCGTTAAAAAAAAGTTATTAAGTAATAGTTTTAAATAGTTTAGGACTTATAAAAAAGTCTCACAGGGCTCGTATTAAGCGCGATTGCTACATACACTTTTGTGATTAGTTTTTTCTTAAAAAAAATCTTTTTTCGACTTGTTTTTTTTTTGGTTGATTAATTACTTTTTTTCTAGCTTAGCATTTTTTTTAGCAATTCTTAAAAGTAATGTTTTTATCATAAAGAACGTCAAACAAAATTTATTATTCTGAATAGATAGATGAATAGATGATTTGCTCTTTCGCGCGGTGATTTTCTTTCAACGTAAAACATTTTTCAATTTAAATTACTTTTAACCTCTGCGTGGAAAATTTTTACAAGGTCGTTAAAGCGAAAAATTGAAAAGTTGGTTTTTATCTTTGTTTATCAAAACTTCATGTTTAAAATAAGGCTTAAAAACATTAGAGCAAAAAAATTACTGACTTTTATTTGCATTTTTATACTGTTTGAAAAAAAAAACTAATAAAAAAGAATTAATTGTTATTATTGTTAATTCTAATAATTATTAATTAATATATTATTAGTTAATTCTTTTTTATTAGTTTTTTTTTTCAAACAGTATTAAAATGCTGATAAAAACCGGCAATTTTTTTACTTTACCGTTTTTAAGCCTTATTTTAAACATGAAGTATAATTCGATTTATTAAACCAAATTTTTTTGTTTCGTCTTTATTTGGAAAACTTAAAATAGAAAAATTGAATAAAAACATCAACCATTTAAATGAAAAACTTAATTATATTTAAACTTTCATTAGTCCCTTATTCAAAAAACAATAAATTTTAAAAAACGTATCTAATAAAATAAAATTTAAAAAACGTATCTAATTTTTTATTAAGTTTTTGACGATGTTTTTCGATAATTTTTTCCCCCCATTACCGCACATCGGCGCGAGCTATAAGAGAGAGGGAGAGAGAGCAAAAAAAAAAAAAAAATTTCGCGATTAGATTTTTTTGCGTTAATTCGAGCCCTGTCTTAGTTTAATTTCTAATAAAATGTCTATTCAACCTTATCAATTTGAACCAAAAAAATATAGCAATTTAACATAAATGTTAGTTAATTTAACTAAAACATTTTACAATAATTATTTTTTTTATTAAGCAAAAATGAGAGTAACCGTCACTTTTGAAACCATAAAAATTACTGAAATAAATTTATTTTTCTACTAAGGAAATGTTTTAAATAAACTTTCATGCGTCTATATTCAATATTCATTTGTTTTTAACTGACTAAAAAGAGTTTAAAATTTGACTTCGATTCGTTTTTAGCCGTGGAATTGCCCTTATAACACAAATATATAAATTAAAATTATAAAAAAAAATTTAATATACAAATATATTTTCACAAAATGCTACAAAACTTATTCTTGTAAGTAATTATGTGTTAGTTGAAAAAAAACGACTTTACTTTTAAATTTAATTACCAACTAATAAGTTTGCAATAATGACATTTTGTCTACTTCGTTTAATTTGACGTACAAACGTTAGTTTTTTGAGGCAGTAGAGTCAATAAACTTTGGACAAGACGCATTTTTTTTTAATCGAAGAAAAGCGTTTTTTTGAAAATCAAATTTGTTAGTATGTGTTCATTATTACATTTTAGAAAAAATAACATACATCAAACATTTTTTTTTTTTTATGCTCTTTCATATGAGATCATATCTTTATAGCACTTAGGGATCCCTTTAATTTAGTTGGGAATAGCTGCTCATCCACTGTAATATTTTCAGCTGGAGTGCCACTGACAATTGGCTGTGAATAAGTTCCAGATCTCAGAAAAAAGTGCAAATTTATCCTGCGGAAGTCTGGTACTCCTTGATTGCTTATCATCAAATCTTAAGTACTTCATGATTGTCTCTATGCATAGCATGCCGAAATAAGTCGTTTACCCATACCGTGTTCCATAATTTACTCACCGGCAAATTTTGGACAGTGAAAAGACAGTGTTCAATTTTTTTTACCTCTCCGTACTGATTAAAGAGTGTATTTTTGAAAGAAATAATTATAGAGAGCATAAAGGACTAGGAATAAACATTTGGGTAAAAATTAATGAAATACAGATTTGATAATGTATCTAAACTTACTTGTAATTTTCTTATGATTGTCTCATCAATTAGAAGTAAAAATGATGATTTTGCCTCTTCCTAAGATGAATTGATATTGTGTGCTTGTTGTCTTCCACGTACATGATTACAACTTTCAATACACCATTGGGTTCCATTTTTAGCTTTTAAAGGATCACTCAAATCAATATCTGTTGATTCTTCTGGCTCTAAATCTGATTCGCTCTCTCATCTTAAGACTCTACCAAATTCTCATTAGTGTATCTCATCATCAATATCACCTGATTCCTCTTCACGAATGATTGTTACCTTGGCTAATTCTTCAAAAATATTGCATGACATAATTTGTAAAATAAAAAAACGAAGTTACTACAACCTAATAATACTCTATGATAAATTAAGAAACCTTTCAAAATGCAAAAAAGTCAAAATCAAGTAAAAAATTACTTTGTCACAGTATAATGACTTCTAACTTATAAAATACATATAATATTGCATAAGGTTCAAAATTTAAACTTCAAATTAAGTTTGAATATAATAGTCGACTTGTTAGATTATCTCAACCCCATGAATAAATTACATGTGATGTATGCTAGCATAAAATCTGAAAATTGTACAAATGCTCAAATGCGATATCATTTCTATTCAAAGGTAAGCAACTTTATTTTTACAAATAAATAATTATTTATTTATTATTATTTAATTAGATGTATATGTATAGAAGAATTATGTATATGTTTTCTCTTGTTGAAGTTACAAAGATGCGTTAAAACAAAATATCCTCAAATCGAAGATGTTATACTTAGGCCTATAGAGATACATCAGTTCCTTAAATCGAAAGGTCATAAACCAAGTAGCACATACGTTGGATCTGGTACAAATGTTACAATTAAAATAGTTTTAAATAGTCTATAATTGAGCTCATTTATCATTATCTTATGTTAAAATAGTAGAAAGAAATGATTAAAATAATTTTGTTTTCTCTAATAATGTTTTTTTATTCTACAAAAATTTGAAATATATGATTAAATTAGGCCTTAAGCCGCACACACATGCTCTAAATGTTTTTAGAGCATACAGGGACATACAGTAAAAGAATTAGACTTTGCTGATTGACGAGTTAAGCAAGAATGAGTTAATAGAACTAAAGATGATGGCTCCTTTGAGCAGCAACATGGTAGTATTTGTAGAAAAGAGAAAGAGATGCAACTTTATAACGATAGGCTCAAGCTTAGCAGGTAGAGCAGGTCCAACTACTCTCAAGTCATTAATAAAAGGTGGGGAGGGGGAGGACTTTTATTAATTTTTGGAAGATTTTCCCACCAACTCCAAGTTTATTAAGATTCCCCCTCCCCCTTTTATTAATTTTTACTTATTCTAAGGGGTTGTTCTAAATGAGGTAACGCTAAATTTTTAAATGGACTTCACGCTTAATTTTTGAATAGAAGTTGGAGATCATTTGCTCTCTTGCACTGAGATTTTTATTAAATATAAAGCCCTGTATACTTTAAAAGCCTCTACGCAAGAAAGCCAATGATCTTTTACTTTTATTACAAAAAATAAATTTAGCGTGACAAGCCCTAAAAAAAAAAAAAAAAAAAAAAAAAAAAAAAAAAAATCAGCGAAAATCAGCCTTAAAAATTAAAATATAATTATTTCAGTCACTGATTTAAAACAAAAAATTTAACTGTAAACAGGCTTTAAAAATCACTTTCAGTGTAAACAGGCTTTAAAAATAGTAAATCTCAACTTGTTAAAATTCAAAAAAATTTTCAAACATTGTCAAAAATGAGCTTATTGTTTATATTTTACTAAAGTATAAAATTTATATCAGCATATTAAATCCTATTGAAATTATTATAAAGACAGCATTTGACCGCAGGCCAAGCTAGAATTAAATAGTTTTAAGCGTGTTAAAAATTATTAGTTTAAATTTATAAACTGAAATTAAAAAAAAAAATACCTATATTGTAAAATAAAAAAATTTACCCCCCTCCCTTTTATCACCACCTCCTTCATTGGATCAGGACTAAAATACACCCCCCCCCCTTTGTATTAAGA